TGTTGAAGCTGCTGTAGAAGCTGCTGTTGAAGCTGCTGTTGAAGCTGCTGTTGAAGCTGCTGTTGAAGCTGCTGCAGAAGCTGCTGTTGAAGCTGCTGTAGAAGCTGCTGCTGAAGCTGCTGTTGAAGCTGCTGCAGAAGCTGCTGTTGAAGCTGCTGTAGAAGCTGCTGTTGAAGCTGCTGTTGAAGCTGTAGAAGCTGCTGTTGAAGCTGCTGCTGAAGCTGCTGTTGAAGCTGCTGTTGATCCGTGCCACCAGCTGGCGCTGCGACTTAAACAATGCGCTTCGGTTTCTTTAGCTACACACGATGCTCAGAGATGTTTAACTTTTCTCTCAACGAGCTGAATAATTAACAGACGTGAGCCAGAATAACATCAATTATGAGCTGAAGATCAGCTAAAAGCAGCGCGGCTGGAGCTAACGTGTGCAAAAACTAGAAGAATGAGCACAACAGAAGCTAAGGCTAACAAGTACCTAAAGTTAGCTAAAAATTCCTATCTGGTAGCTTAAAGCTAAAATTAGCTCAGACAGCCAGTAGCTGGAGCGGATTTATAAAAGAAAAATCTGTTTTTAAGGGAATTTTTCAAATAAAGTATAAATTATTTGAAAAGTATAAGTTACTAAAAGCAACAGAGCACGAACTATAAATTAAAGAGTTGTGTGAACATGTGGATGTAAACAGCTGGAACTTCATCATTTGAAACTTTTAATTGATTAATTTGACATTAAATAAATCCCATCAGTCAATAATTAATGAAGACCAGGAAACACAAACTTAGCCAAATATTTTAATCATTTCAGATGTATATTGAGTGCTTTACTCAAAAAATCATCTCTTTACGTCAGCTATAAAACTTTACAGATATGTTTACAAGAATATAATATGTACACCACATGAAGGAACACCTGCACTTTGTTTTCCAAATATTAACTTTAAAATGAGCGATGACGTCGCTGCACGAGAGGAAATAAAACGAGTATTTGTGAGACGAACGTGCGTTTTATTTCCTGCTGCAAACAGTTTAAAGAACATTAACGATAAATGAAGCCGGAACGTTCGATGTTCGTTCAGCGCCACAAAAACAAGTTCGATATAAAATAAGACCCAAACGTTCACAGCTTGAGAATTTAATCAGAAAGTGACTTGTTTTTTTGTTTTTTTTACAGAAATGATAAAGTTTAATACAAATTAACAGTTTGTTTTTGAACGTGCAGGTTGAAAACTCTTCCTTTGATTTAAGTTTTTTGATCATTTCCCCTTCGGTCAGCGCACATTCTTTAACTTGGGCCTGAAACAACTGTTTGGTTGAATTTGGTGACGAGGGAACGCTGATGTCTCGCAGCGATTATAGTGAAAGTGTTATGTGCATTTTTAGTTTGAGCACCAGAACAACAGGTAAAGATTTAGTTCAGATTCGTGTCGGGTCGTTCCTGCTGCTTCAGAACGTATCCGGAGCCGATTTCACGTGATGAACATCATGGCTCATCACAACAGAAGACTGAAAACCTGTCTGCATCTTTCTCGTAGCATCGACCAGCTCTGATCTGAACGTTAATCTGTCGACAGCAGCCGTTCTGCTTAAAACTTCACCTCTAACGAGGAGGAAAGGTGACGATGAAGACCGTTCAGAGTTATGAGGGTCAAGCTGATGATGATGATGATGAGAGCTGGGTCCTTGCATTGATTACAGTGATCATTAGTCCATCAGTCCTGAGTTTAAACCAAGAGTCAAACCAAAGCATGGCAGCTGGTCTGATGTTTAAACCCAAATAAAATCAGTCCAAACTAAACATTTAAATCGAGTTTTAAAAACAGAGAAGTTCATTTTGAACCAAACTTAAACTGAGCCTCCAAACAAAAGCACTGAGGAAGAGGAGTCTCTGAGCTGAAATTGTCCCACGCGACCTCCCGTACGGCGTTCTCAGCTCCAACCTTTAGTGATGACTTCACCCTGGAGAGGAGGGAAGTTCTGCTGATGGACAGGGAGCAGGGACGGTCCTAGGAGAATCGGGGTCTCGGTGCCCTCATTGGACCAGCTCGAAGTAGTGCAGGATGGCCATGATGTGCTGCGGCATGAAGACGTAGCCGGTGTAGACGGCCATGGCGGCCACAGAGATGAGCAGCGAGTCTGAGGAGGAACCATTAAGGAAGAACTCTGCTGGTTTGGACAGAAACTCTTACAGTATAAACACAAAGTGCGATGGATTTACAGAATCCGTCCGGTCTCTGCTGCTATCAGCGTGTCACAAATCAATAACTAGTTTGTGATCGATACCTTTTGACTTGGAGTAAAATATGTACCGGTAGTCATTCTTTAAAGAGGCAGGCTTTAAATGTACATTTCGTTCATATCTTACATTATATTGTAAAACTAAGACTTGGTAAATTTATTCAAAGTGCCAAAACAATTCTAAAGGTGGTTTGTTATAAATGGGGGCCAAATTATATTTTATCCTTTAGTTCTAAACCACAAACTAACTCGTTTTACACCGAGCCGAGCTCTCAACATCCCGAGTAATGTGATCTGTAAAGTGAAGGGATGGAAATGTTCTTTAGACGTGAAGCCAGTACCTCACTGAGCTCAGACTGATGGTGGCAAACCACAACCAGGCTGCACAAGGGTTTTCAGAATGTTTTTAAATGTTTCAGAGCGTTCTCGGTTTCCTCAGGTGAGTCTGTTTGCATGTTACAGTTTTTAAAAAAGTGTCTGCAAGAAATGTTCTCAATATACTCATAGCCAGCGTCTGAAACCGTTCTCATTTACGTTTTTTATTTCCAGAGCCTGAGAAACGACCGACGACTTCACGTGACCCAACCGTTCATGATGGCAACAGCAAGACCATCTGCTGCAGTCTTCAGCAGGTCGGTCCGGTCCTCAACAAGCAGCTTCCGAGCTCCGCTTTACGTTAGACTAGAGAACGAGAGCTCAACCGCAGAGACGCCTCGTTTTTAGAAGGTCCAGAGTTCCCAACCTTCACATCACTGGTGCACAGCAGAAAGTGTCAAACACGTGCGCTTGTCACAAAGTGGTGCGATAGTGACACGCACTACCGGCTCATTTCAGCCCAACATATACAAACATGCTTTAAGAAACTAATTCAGTGCAACAACAAACAAACAAAAAAACATTTGCACGTGCATTTTAGACACATTTAACTAAAATATAACCACGTGATTCAGCTGATCTGAGCTCAGCAGCAAAACGATAAAAAAAAAAACTTTAAAGTTCCACACACGTGAAGGAACTGGATGTGAAAAGAACATTCAGATCAGTCACTGTTGACCCTAAACGCTTCAGACCAAAGTACTGATTATAAACTAGCTGCCATTACAATCAATGAGGTCTATTGATTATTGATCACATCCTGAATGATCTCGGAGACATGTTTTCATTCATACTCGAAGCTGTATTCATTTTGAGGATTTATACCTTTTCATTTAATATCAACACCTGGTTTATAAAGCTTCCTTCAACTTTAATTGAAAATTATTGTTTTATTAAGCCGAACTTTAGAACAAGTAACGGACAGTAAAAAATAAAAGTGCAGTTCAGATCCGTCACATTTGCCAACGTTAGATGGTTTATCAGCAAACATCTGATCAGTGTTTTGATCAGATCGTCCTGGTTTGGGTTTTGTGTAATCCACCTGAAAGTCCGACCATATTCTGTCCTACAGCCACAAACTACTTTAAACCCATTTATATTCAGTTTACACGAAAACTGACTGATCCGTCTTTTAAACGTTTAAGTCAAATGTAGCGGTACGATTTATCTCTGTTGAACTTGAAGCTCGTGTTTTATCACTACAACACAATGTAAATTAATGTTTAGTATCCCGAATTTACGATAAACCGCCGCACATTTGTTACAAACTCAACCCGAGCTCCGTTCAGCTAACGTTAGCAGTCACTGCTAGCTTAGCTTCGGAGGCGTCGCTCGCTCCCAGTAAAAAAGGATACTGAACACCGTCCTCTCCCAGGGCTCCAGCATGTAGAGCGCCGTTACCAGAAGGTACTGGTAATAAAACCAGGACAGCTGCTTCCAACAGTCTCCGAGCGCCATCACGTCCCGATACTCAGTTAGCTTTCACCGCTAATACTTCAGGAATCGGCAGGAAGTGTTTCCTGGTTGCTCGTGACGTTGAATTGGACGGTCGGTCTCAGCCAATCACGAGTCTGTGTTTCCTGCGTCACGTACTGACGCAAGGAAGGAGTTCCAGCTTCCGGATTTCAAAATAAAGCCCAGATAGAAGGGAGGCGGAAGTCAGCCGGTACAATTTACTTCTCATAAACTAGCTGTATAATTGCTTCTTTAGCTACATCTGTTTAATCAGCACGAGTTTTAAAAATATGAAAAAACAAGTCAAACCTCCCCAGTCTCATTGCATACAAGTCATACAAGTCAAATAATAAATATGATTCTATTCTTTTCAATGTGTGATAAATGCTGGTGAAGATTTATAGTCATCCAGGACATGATAAATTAAAAAAACGTTCAATTGAAAAAATAAAGTCCAGTTGTTTTTGTATTGAACGCTTTTGAACGTGTGATAAACACCTGGAAAAAAATGTGCAATCAGTAAAATCTAAATGAAAACGCGTTTTCTTTTTGTACTTGGAGCACTTTTAGATGAAACAAAAATTACCTTTAAATTTACAATACTAAAACTATTAAATGTTTAAATGTACAATTCAGTTTGCCGTTCATAAAGAGCACGCAGATTTCAGCAAGTTGTAACTGATTGACAGGAAACGACTGCAACACAATCCCCCACAGCTTAAAAACAAAACAGGCAAGCGATCATGTATTTCCTTTATCAGTGTCCTCGCTCTTATAAAAATATCTAATGAACGAGTGGACAGATTTTTATGAAACTCACAAAGTAATGCACATCTACAACCGACTCCCTTTTGAAACAAACCCTATTTAAGACGACCATCATGGCTAATCTAAATCAGCAAGCAGAAAAATGTCCACGACTCAGTGAGTTTTACAAATATTAAGTTAAAATTTGATGTGGTGGTAGCTGAGAGTCATCACAAACACGAACTTTGAATGCTGATTGGATGAAATTTATATTATTCCAACAGTTACAGGTCAGAAGGAGCTTAAAATGTTCATCTGTAACTACAACCCGCTTTATTTTTTTATAAATGTGTAGGTTTGTGGTGAGAGTTTTACCAGTTTTAAGAGTTTTAGGACCGTTTAATATGAACACTGTCCCAAAACTGATCAGGAAAGCAGATTTTTACAGACACGTTCCAGTTTTTGTACATTTCAAACATTTCCTCAAACAGAGCACACGCTGTGAGGATGTGACCACTCTGTTGGTCCAGGAGTGGTTTTAATTCTCCAGCAAATGATTTAGGGTTTAATCCAAATTAGACTGTTTCAAAGTGATCTAGTCCAACTGGTCCCAGTGATCCTCAGAACGATGAGTCACTCCTCTGTAGTTCTGCTTTAAGTAAAGCAGCCAAACCAAACCTCTCCAGCGCTGAGCGTGCTCAGTTCGTCTCAGCAGTGGCTGGCGAGGATGTTAAAAAAATGGTAAACCTCATCTTTATCGAACACAGCCACCTCCGTGGAGCACTCGGAGCATATCACCGGGTGATAAACCTCATCAGTGTCCATCAGCATCGCCGGCATCGAGGCGGCAGCTTCCTCTGCCGGAGCTTCGGTTTTCTGCCCCCTCCTCCTCTTCCTCGGTCTTCTCACCTGCTGGCTTTTGTAGCGCAACGCCTCGTCCTTCTTCACCGTGCAGTTCATGACGAACATGGCTCGGTACTGCGTACGGTACTTCTCATGCCTGAAAGGACACAACTGGGATGTGTTACCTTGTTTAAAAACACAGGAAGTAAACTCAGTCTGAGATGAACAGCAAACATTTGTTTCTCAAATAGCAGAAGGATTAATGCTCTGAATCATTTTATTACTTTTAGGACAAATTAAATGAAACTGTTTAACACTGATGGTTGTGTGTTGGTGGTCAGGTTGATGAAATACACTTTACTTGTTTTTACGTTGTTGTTGTTTTAAAAGGAACCTGACAGATTCATGAGGTGGACGGATCAGTTGTCTGTTAACTGAGCAGAACCTGAACGGACTCGACGTGCTGCTGCTGCTCACCTCTGACAGTCCAGGCAGAGCGTGGTCATGCAGGCAGGACAGTTGAGGACGGCGTCACTAGTGGGACCGCTGAGACGCTGAGACCCGGACGCTGCAGACGCTCGTTTTCTGTTGTAATACCTGCGCAGGATGATGACAGGAGACTGAATGAGTATCGGAGGAAGGGTGCGTGTGTCTTTTTTTTTTTAAAGAAGAGTTTTTAAACATGAGTACCTCCTGGCATCCACCCAGGCCTGGTCCCTGTCGTCTTCATCCGGGTCATACAGCAGCTCATCATTAGTAGGAATCATCCGCTGCTTTCTCCTCCGGCTTGTGGAGCTGCCTGAAGATTCAGGTCAACTTTAATAAACTCAAATTACCGTTAAAGCATTCTAAATTATGATGCATTGATCTGTTGACGGGCTGCATTCTTACTTGGTGTATCCTCCTCGTCCGAGTCAGAATCAAAGTAAACCTGGTCATACATCCGGGGGTTGGACGGACCAGAACCTCCTCCATCTGCTGCTTCACCAACGCTGTCTGTCGCAGAATAAACAGCCGTTTCTGAGTTCACGAGAAATAAGAGACTGTCTGATCATGTGAGATTATCCAGTAACACCACAGGAAGGCAGGGGCATTTTTACTTCCCACCATCAACAAGCAGCTTTGTTTTGGAACCAACTTAAAAAAATAATCGGGTATCTTAACATTTTAAACCTCCTCGAACTGATCAGTTTTTCCATCTGAGGACAGCAGAGATCAGCTTTTCTGCACATCAAGCTGTTATAAAACACATATTTCTGGGATGTGCGGAGTCAACTGTTGTTTCAGTTTTTATTCTCATCTACTCACAACTGGAATAGCATACGTTTGCAGATTTACAGGATAGAAAAACATCTCATTCTAGTCCATTGTAAAGATGATGAAGAACAAAGCTTAGTATTGCTATCAGTATTTCCCCTACCATTATCCAAGGAGGGCCCCTTGTCCTGTCAACAGAACTGATCGCCCTGCCTATAGAAATCCCTTGCTGCCACAGGTTCTGTGGTTGGGGAGTGGAGATTGTTAAGGACCAATCGACACAGGATATGTGGCTTTGACGTAGCATTAGTAATGTAGAGCTCTGCTAATCCCCCTCCCACATATAATGAATCAAATCTGATTTGAACGTGGACAGAAAAACCCTGTTTAGTTGTCAGCACAGGTTGAGGCACACATCTCTCTTTGTGAGGGCTTACAGCTCTACATGGTTTAAGACGTTATCATGGCAGTTTTTTGGTGTTACCAGCTGATGGTCTCCAGGTTCCCTCTATGTTCTTGATGGTGGAGCTCAGTTCTGCCTCCATCTCTTTTTCAAACTCATCCCCACTGGAGGACTCGCTCTCCCCAGTCAGATACTCCCGGATCAGCTTCTTCTTCTGCTCGGCAGTCCCGTTCAGCAACACATCCAGCTCATCCTCTGAACTAAAACACGGGGAGAATAAAACATGTTTTAAAGCTTGGCACCAGGCAGGCTACAGACAATTCAGTGATGGTTTACTCCATGTAATACTGTCGGCGATCACATGGCAGCTCTGCTTTCTTCTGGCTCCACAAAGTTCGGTGCTACTTTTGTCTGAAACAGGTCTCTCTTGTAAATGAGTCATTGAGGCTCAATGGGAACTAAACTGTATAAATAAAGGTTGAATGAATGGTGTCCTTTTATGTCAAAAGTGCCGTCATCACTTGATAAATATTTAATTCATTAGAAAACTGCTAAATATTTAAATCAAAACTGAAAACATTCATTAAAAAGCAACTGTTAACAGTTTCATTGCAATATAAAAACATCAGTAAAGTTCTATATTATTAGAAATTAAAATATTTTTTATGAATATTCGTTTTTATAAATACACATTTATAATTGAAATGTGTTATTTACTGTGGAATCACAATCTTTAAAATACCGAGTTTATTACTTTTACTTAGATACAGGAGCTTAGCGTAAAAAGGTCGTTCTTGAAATCAAATACTTTAAAAACCTGCCATTACTAAATTTTATATCGTTTACCTTAAATAAATGGGTCTACGTCGTGTCAGTACATTGAAATAAATACTCAGTTTCTGTCTGATTTTATAAGCTGTAACTGCTCTGTAAGTTTAACGTTTAGCAGAAATAATGTCGTGGGTTTGTTTACATGATAGCATTCGGCTAACTAGCCTCGCCATGCTAATGCTAACGCAGTTTTTGAAACCCGAAGCTTTATTTGTTGCCCACCTGCTGACAGCTCGCTCCTCGTCACTCGGTTCGTCCAACTCATACGAGTCAAACTCCTGGGATTTAATGAGTTTGTTCATTTTGACCGTTTAGTAGCTTCAGTTAAGAAAACAATAATATTTCCAGTTAACTAGCTTAGGAGCGTGTTCTTCTTCTTTGCTTTTTCTTTTTGCTGCTGTTGACACGCAGCCGGCTGAAAGGCGCATTACCGCCACCTGGCGGATGGAAGTAATACACCGGAAAATAAGGCTTGTGCAACCTGTACAACTGAAACAGCTCATTCTGATTCACTTTGTTCTTCTGGTTAAAAACTGGACCTTCAAACTGGACTCGGAGTCCTTGGAGCCTGCAGAAAGTGGACTGGATTTCAAAACCAGCCCAGGTCTGGAGGACCTGAAAGACTAAAGATGCTGACCGGCTGCATGGAGGAAAAATTCAGCTGCTTGTTTTTTTTATTTTAGTGGCAGAGCTTACGGCTGCTTTCATGAAGCTTCAGTATTTAATTTCTGTTTGGATAAAGAAACAGAACTTCTCTTTAAAGACGAATTACCATTCACACTCACACCTTAGTTAATAAGGGTCTGCAACCTGTGGCTCTGGGGCCATATGTGGCCCTTCAGACGGCCTGCAGAGGCTCATTGTAACTTTAAACCAGTGTCAGAAAAGAGCCTGATAAATTAACCCTAAAGTTAAAACAATTCTGTGTTTGTGTTTACACATCCTGATCAGTCATGTCGCTTCAAATCTGTTGTCAAACCCTGACCCGCCTCACAAACAGCACACGGACCTTTTCGGTTCTGATGGGCTCAGACTTTTAAATCTTTTAAAAGTCTTTTAAATCCTCACTTAAAGACTTTTTAATTCTGTCTTTCATTCCCTGTTGGCTCAAATGTTTTAGTTTTAATTCTTTTATCCATTATTTCGATTGATTTTATCGTCGAGCTCTGTACAGCACTTTGTTCCATTGAGTTTTAAAGGGTTTCATTAAATAAATTACATCTTAGCTACACTTGTTGACGTAAAAACCTCCCGTAGATGTTACCGCTGGTTTTCAGATAGAAAGTAATGGTTTGGAGCTGGAAGTATTTAAAGAAACAATCAGGGGAAAGCCTGCCGGAGCAACTTGCAGAACACAAAAACAAGAGAAAAGTTGAAAAGGAGAAAGAGGGAAGATGCTGTTTCAGTTTGTGGACAGCGAGGGGCGGCACAACACAGCAGATCTACCTCCAGGCAGCCTTCCATCCTAGCATCTTCACTCTTCAGGGTCTGGGTGAACAGTGTTTGATAAACAATGAGCAGGTCGTGCAACAGCTCAACTATGAGACTTTTATTTTACTTGGCTTTAATAAAAGCTAAAAGAGATCAAATTAAAATTACATAACGCTGAGGACAGGCGCTGAAGAAGAAGAAAAGTTATGATCTGTGTCATTTACAGAAGTTTTAATAACAGCAGAAACCTTTTTAAACGTTTCCAACATTATTTAATTAGGAGGAAAATATTTAGTTCGGGGAGGTAAATTATTCTAGTTAAAAACTAGTAACATTATTTTTAGAGCTTCTGCTAAAAGAAAATATTTCTGCTGAGTCTCCTGAGCAGATATATTAGTTTTATTAAATAAATTCCTGAATTACACAAACTTTACAAAGTGTGTTACATTTTCTATGAAGCGCCTCCGGCACCAAGATCCACCACACCTGAAACTGGAGTATTTGAATTTGAACTGGATAAAATGAAACAGATTTTAATTTAATTTGAAGTAATAATTCTTAAATGTTACTCCACATGAACACAGTTCAACGTTCTGTGCAGTAAGTCTTAAAAAATATATAAAAAATACAGAATAAATGGTCGTCACCCCTTCAAATTAAAGGTGCAAGCAGGAATTGAACCCACAGACTGGGGGTCACCACCAGCAGCTTGAAGTGCGGACCAGGTGCAGGTTCTTCTCCAGGTCCAAAACCCCAGAGTTTAAAAAACACTAAAACTAAGACTTCAGCTGTGAGAGCTGACCTTTGACCTGCCCTTCCTGGACGTCCAGTTTATTCAGTTTCAGGACACAAATTGTTTTTAACTTTTTAATATTTCTGTTTGCCTTTTTGTAGCTGCTTCTGTGCATTTCAGCTACTTTCAGCTGTTTCAGCCATTCGAGGGTCAAAAGGTTCGGCTCGTTCACGTCCTTACAGCGTTGACTTTTGTAACTTCTATACGTTTTGAATTGAACTTTAGATCTTTTTCTCATAGAAATCTAAAATGAGTTCTTCCAATCTTAAATAAAATAAAATAAAATCTGCAAACTTGTTTTATTTAAGCTACAGTTTTTAGCTGTGTTTTAGCTTTCAGCTACTATTTTGCTAGTTTTGTCTTTCAGTCTGATTATTTAAACCACTTCAGTTTCAGCTTCTTCAGCAGTTGTTAACAAGTCATTCAGCAGTCTTTCAACACTCGTTCAGCAGTTGTTCAGCAGTCTTTCAGCAGTCGTTGAGCAGTAATCCAGCAGTGGTTCAGCAGTGGTTCAGCAGTCTTTTAGCAGATGTTCGGCAGTCATTCAGCAACTTTTCAGCAGTAGTTCAGTCCTCATTCAGCAGTTATTTAGCAGTTGTTAACTAGTCATTCAGCAGTCTTTCAGCAGTTTTTCAGCAGTTGTTCAGCACTCATTCAGCAGTTGTTCAATATTTGTTCTGCAGTTGTTCAGCAGTTGTTCAGCACTCATTCAGCAGTTGTTCAATATTTGTTCTGCAGTTGTTCAGCAGTTGTTCAGCACTTATTCAGCAGTTGATCAATATTTGTTCTGCAGTTGTTCAGCAGTTGTTCAGCAGTTGTTCAGCACTTATTCAGCAGTTGATCAATATTTGTTCTGCAGTCATTCAGCAGTTGTTCAGCAGTTGTTCAGCAACAGTAAGCAGTGTGTTTTCCAGTTAGTGGTTCAGTATAAATCTCCACAGGTTGTTTCTCAGCACAGCTCTAATTTAAAGGTTTATTTATCTTTATGTTTTTGAAATCATAAAAAATGGCCGCCTCCTTCTTCACCTGAAACCTCGCTCACGTTAGCTTCACCCTGAGCTCGGTGTTTGTCTGTTTCCTGAGTTTCTGTCCCGTCTCTGTTTGTGTTTGTTGGTCGTGTTTCTCCTCCGGTTCGCTGCTGAAGGCGTCTTTACGTCGCTCGGCTGCGTGACGAGGTGTGTTTCTGTGACATTCTCCATCGCAGGTGTGACATCTCGCTCCCCTGACAACAACACACACCGAACAACCACCCTGTGATTCTACCTGCCTCCCACACACACATCTCACCGTCCACCTCTGTCTCAGCTCTGCTGCTCGACAAGCTAATTTAGCCAATTACACGCAGGTGTGATGCTAATTTCCCCGAGCTGGCAGCAGCTCCTGGAGGAGGTAAAAATAGCATAATTACACTCATCTGTCCCTCTGCAGGCAGACGGGCTCTCCCACTGGGTGTCGGCTCCACTGCCACTACCAAACACACACAGGAGGAAGAAAAACACAAACTGTTGGCTTTGATGACACGGCCTGTGTGCGTGCACGTGTCTGAGTGTGTGTGCACGTGTCTGAGTGTGTGTGCGGAGGAATTTGAGCTGCAGCCACTGTTGCTTTTGTTTGAAGCCTTCAATGGATTTTCAGCAATACGCTGCAATTTCCTGCAAGAAAGGAAACCAGAGTTATAGTGCGGCGGGATAATTGCACGAGGCTGTTTCTGAAAGCAACGGGTTTGGATTGTTCGAGGAGAGGAAGAGGAGGAACACAAAACAAGGTCAGAACAGGCAGCGAGGCGTCAGGCGAGCATGAGTCCTGAAACCAGCCGAGGGAACAACCAAACAGCCGACAGGCCCTTTCCCAGACAGAACCTCAGCAGGTCAAACATCTGCAGGATGCTGGAATCCCATGGCCTTCATCAGGACATACAGATTTGTCCTGTCAGGTTTAGTTTTTACTTGTGAGGATCCTGAAGAAGGTCCAAGAACTCGCAGAACCAGGCCGAGTCTGTTCTGGGCCAAAAGCAGAGTTCGGTTCGTGTTGTTCACCAGAGATCACAAACATCTCGCGTCGTTTAGATCAACTTCAGTTAAACAAAGTTTATCGGTGAGACATGAAAATATTTCATTAAAACCTTTTACATTAATTAATGAAAAAAATCATCCATTAAAGGCAGGCAGTCATGTGTGTGTTTAGTCGTCTGTTAGCAAAATTTCTCATGAAACACTGGACAAAACTCTGAGAAAATCATCATTTGGATCTATGTATTTAACTGAATAACCATCAGAGTCAACACTAATCAAGATGGCCGCAACAGCTACGTGAACTTAACCAGGACAAAACATAGTCAACTGTACAAAAAAATAAGCTAAAATTCAGCATCATAGTAGCTGAAAGTCATCCACGTCTGAGCGCTAAAAGAGCCGTGATGTTTTGGTAATAATACTTTTTACATTTTAGCTTTCAGCTACTGTTTGGCTCATTTAGCTTGTAGCTAATGTTGTGCTGGCCTTAGCATTGAGCTACCTTGTTGTTGATTTTACCATTTAGCTAGTGTTTTGCTAATTTTAACTCTTGTTCTGATCGTTTAACACCAGTTTTAGCTTTTTCAGTGAATTTCATCAGTTGTTCAGCAGCTGTTTATCAGTTGATTAGATGTAGTTAAGCAGTGATTAAGCAGTTGTTGAGCTGTTCTTCAGCATTTGTTAGCAGTCATTCAGCTGTTGTTCAGCTGTTGTTCAGCAGTCGTTCAGCAGTCCTTCAGAGGTGTTTCAGCTGTGTTTTAGCAGTCATTCAGCAGTCATTCAGTGACATGATGTTTGGTTTGTTGACCCTGAAGTATAAGACAGATAAGACACAGACTCCAAGGTAAACAAGTGAAGTTTGTTTATTTACAAAGTACTTTGAAGAATTTGTTGCTGCAAGGAAAAGATGGAGAAGGTGAGTCCGGGTCATTCACAAGACATTTGATGGTAGGAAATAATTTGTTTGATGTTTGTCTTACTTATGGTTGTTTGCAGGTTGAGTTGGAGAGGGGGGAGAGACGAGGTCCTTGGATTCCAGATGAAGGTGAAGACGTGGTCCAGAAGGTGAGTAACGTTGGAGAGAGTGACAGGTGGAAGGTGCTCGGTGTTTGGTCCAGGCTGATGTTTGGTCCAGGCTGATGTTTGCTCCAGGCTGATG